AACAGAGCTGGAAGAGAAGGTAGGTGGCCCAAATGCCAGTCCGGGACTCTTTTTACTCTACCTCACCAACTCATTTAGAGCTTGGATAGATTATCTAGACAGAAAGTCAATAAGGAAACAGTGGCTTTGACGACACATTAGACCAGATGGGTTTAACAGATACATACAGAACATTCTACCCCCAAACAGCAGAATACACATTCTTTTTCAAGTGTACATGAAAAGTCTCCAGGATGGATCACCTGATAACCCACAAAACAAGTTTTAATAAATTTTAGAAGACCAAAATCATATCAAACATCTTTTCTGACCACAACAGGATGAAACTAGCCATCAGTCCCAAGGAAACAGTTGGAAGAAACACAAACACGTGGAGGCTACACAACATATTAAACAACCAATAGGTCAATGAAAAAATCACAGAGGAAGCCAAATGAAAATGAGGACAAATGAAAATGAAAACACATTGGTTCAAAAGCTTTGGAACGCAGCAAAAGCAGTTCTAAGAGGGATGTTTATAGGAATCCAGGCCTACCTCAAGAAGCAAGAAGACTCTCAAATCAACAACTTGATCGGACACTGAAAGGAAGTAGTAAAAGAACAAATGAAGCTCAAAGTTACTAGAAGGTAGGAAATACTAATGATCAGGGCAGGGGTGAATGAAATAGACACTTGAAAACAAGAGAAAATCCCGACGAGCCTAAGAGCTGCTTTTGTCAAAGGATAAACAAAATTGATCAACCTTTAGTTAGACTCCACACACAAAACAGGAGGACTCAATACTTACCTGGCAGGAGACTTACCACGACCACAAAAAAAAGGAGGACTCAGACAAAATCAGAAATGAAAGAGAAGTTGCAACGGACATCACAGAAATATAAAGGATTGATTACAAAAGATGACTACAGAAATTATATGCCAATGAACTGGACAATCGAGAAGAAATGGGCAAAGTCCTAGAAGCATACAATCTTCCAAGACTGAATCGAGAAGAAACAGAAAATGTGAACAGACCAATTCCTAGCAATGAAGTGGAATCAGTAATCAAAAAACTCCCAACAAAGTCCAGGACTAGGTGAATTCTGGTCACAGGTGAGTTCTACCAAATATGGAAAGGAGGGTTAATACCTATCCTTCTCAAAGTATCCCCCCCACCCCCTGCCAAATAGTAGAGCTTGGAGTTTTCCTATTTATCTAATTTAGCTGGAAGCAGCAAGCAGAGCCCTATCAAACAACTCAAGAATACTTAAAGGAATGTGCCATTTAGCACAAAGGAGAATAGCGCAGGGACGACCTGGCCGTAAAGGAAGGGTCAGAGAGGGAAATATTCATTATGAGGTCTGGATGAAAATGTGGAGGCTGAGAGGAGGGGGTCTGTTCTAAGTGTGAGGACCAGCAAATGTCCCTGGGCATATGAGCGAGGGAAAAAATTGGTGGAGAGCAGGAACGGGGTTAAACAGCAGAATCTTCTTGGCTGAGAGGAGCCATTCTCCACGCTGGGGAATAACTACATTGCTGCTTGGGGAGGAAGGAACTGGGAGGCAGGGGAAGAAGAGGAAAGGAAGGGACTGTCAGGGTCTTATCGGGCATCGTTGGTAGAGTGGAGGGTCTACCAGATTCCGGCGACGAGACATAAATGTCACGAGAGCAATGACTTTTCTCTGGCCTGTTTCAATCAGTCGTACCTTCAGTGCCTAGAAGAGTGCCAAGTACACGGAAAAGACTCGGGAGATATTTGTTGAATGAAAAAAAAAATGAATGAATGAGTAAAATATGGGCACCTGCAAGACTGAAGGTCTTGAGCACGGGAATAACGTGATAGAAATGTCCGAGGAAGAATATTTTTGTCCATGTGTGACGGATGGTATCAGTGTGTAAAGGCACACAGACAAATCGATCAATAGAGTGTCATGATGGAGACTTACGTAAGAATCGCGATCACAGGAAGAGAAAAGACACAGGGCAGAAGGAAGATACAGGGAGGGAAAGGGACATGATAAGGACTGGGATCTGGAAGCACAAGGGTACCTCTTATGAGCCAAGGGAATGCAAACGGACGCTGCAAACTCATTTGGATTCCAAACTGGTGATGGGGATTCGGGAACGCCCTTGTTGGGATGAGCGCCGGGTGATTCATGGAAGTGTCGAGTCACTGTGGTGCACACCTGAAACTAACACCACCCGCTATGCTAACTGGAATTTAAATAAAAACCTAAAAAACCGTGCACCTGTGTAGTTAGATACTAACGTTTCTCTCTTCGGAAATGGAAAAATGGCTCTCGGAATCCCTCATAAAACAACGAACCAACTGTAATGTTTTTGGTAGGAGACTGTGTTACCGCTTGGGCAAATACAGGGGCTGTTTTTCCAGGGTATCTTTGGAACTATTTTTGAGTTGTGGCGACTTTTCACTCTCAAATAATGCTGATGGAGGAACCGACTAGATTCACAAAGCCGGCTTATAAGTGTCATGAATGGTTCTGTGTCTAACTCTTCTAGCATTCATCTATCCGATTTCATAACCATCCCCAATTACTCCCTCTGCTGGGTTGCTTTCACTGAACCCTGCCATTCAGGATGGACGGACTGATACCCTTATTTCAACCAAGGGTCAGGAAAGAGACCGAACCACTTTGACGTGATCAATTGTTTCTTCGTTTTTTTATAAGTGAGTGTTCATAACACAGACTGTATTATTACAGAGGCCTAGTTAAAAGCCAAAACCATTGATGTGAATATGTAAATTCTAGAACTCGCGGCACCTTCGATAAGCCAAGGTAACTGTTTCCTCCTTGATTAATGACAGCAAGAATTAAACTGCAGTGCCTGGCATATGGGAAATTGCTGAGAATGAAGAGCCCATATTTTGGCCGACACGCTCTTCGCCGCTTTCGATTCTCCTTTTATTTCATCAAGTTCACACGAAGGAGAGAAAAGGCACTGAGTGATGTTCAGAACAATTAGAGCACCTTTCTTTTTCCTTCCTGTGAAAAAGAGTAACTTTCTTTCCTTTTGCTTTACCTACCAATATCTTCCCCATTTCACGTATTTCATTCCCTTTTAATGATAGATGTTATGAAAGTGGCCTTTGTCATTACACACACTGACCTCTCCTCGAGTCTAAGGGACAGGCGGAGAATGGAGTCTCGCTGTCTTTGAAAATGCCACTGCCCACTGTTGTTCCCAACTCTGCCTCAATACATCGATACAAACTTCATGGACCGAAGCGGGAGATCAAAATGAGTGTCTTAGAGGCTGGGGCACAATCTTGGGGGGGAAACCTTATGAATACAAATAAATCCTGGGGCACCTGGGTGGCTCAGGTTAAGCGTCTGACTCGTGATTTCAGTTCAGGCCATGATCTCCGTTTGTGAGTTTGAGCCCTGCATCGGGCTCTGCGCTGAAAGTCCGAAGCCTGCTTGGGATTCTCTCTCTCTCCCTCTCTCTCTGCCCCTACCCCATTCTCGCTTTCTCTCTCTCTCCCTCTGAACATAAATAAATAAACTTGAAAATAAATCCTTTCCTACTCATAGAAATATCTGTTGCCCTATTCCATCCTTTAATTTATTATGTATCTATGTGCAAAAGTTAGGTGAGGCTTACCTTTTCCTTTCTGCTTTATACCTCACGGTATTACTACACTGATGGTAAAAAGCTCAGACTCTGGAGCCGGATGCCCTGTCTTCGATCTTGGATCTGTCACTTACTAACTAAATGACCTTAGGAAAATTATTTAGCCCCTCTGGACCGCACTTTCTTCAGATACAAAGACAGAATAATAACAAAGTCTATCACTTAGCGCTGCTGAGAGCATTCAACGGGTCAAGAAATATAAAGTGCCCAGGACACCGCGTGATATGTGACGCACTGGGTGTTGGCTGCTGTCATTAGTAGTGTTTCGCATTATAAGTACAGGATTTTACGAGAGTGCTTTTGAATTACTAAACTTCGGGGAAATTTCCCCTCATTAGAGAAGCAAATAGGCTGTCTGTCCAAAATTTGGCTGGTTGAGAAGAACTATAAAGGAGAAAAAGAAACCTCCACTCTGTAATCTCACAACCTAGGGGTAGCACCTCCTGCCAGGGTTTAGCACATTCCCTTCCATCTACCGTGAAGTCCGTTCGTCTCCCTCTGCCACCCTCTGCTACCACCCCTCTTCCAGACACAGAAGAAAGCACAAAATATTTGTATAAAGACATGTGAAATTGGGACACACAAGTGATCGGAAAGCAGGAAACCTGACTAGCGCTCCTTGCATTTCCCGTGTCATTTATGCGACATGGGGCGTCGCACTTAACTGTCCCCTCTTTTTGCGCTGCCACTGAACTGTCTCACAATGGGTGTAGCAAGAGCTCCCCTCTGTGCTCTTTACAACAACGCTGAGATGCCTCCACCAGCTTCTCAGGAGAATGGGCAACTGTGCAAAAGGGGAGAGTGCAGAACAACTAAAGGCTTAGGCTACGGAGGATGTGGTGAGAAAATGTGAGAGGGAGCGGAAGACCAGAAGTGTCTACAATTCCTCCCTAGCGGCAGGAGCTACGGAGAGGTCTCCTCTAAAGTGTTAATTACAAGGCATTCTGGTATTTAAGGGATGTCCTCTGTTATGCATTTAGAGTAAAGCCCAAGAATTACACGATAAACACACGTTAATTTTCTCACTTTTTGTATAATCCTGTAGTAAGCCAAGAGAGAACTCGATCAAATTAGGATCGCTGTGTTCCTCATTTAAATTCACTCTAATGTCTTAATATGCATCTCTCACATGGTTATAAAACCTCACCATTCTAATCTGATCTGAACCCTCAAGTATCAATCGGCTCCGTACCAAGCAAATGAATGATTCATTTATTCAAAATAAAATGAATCATTCCGAAAATGGGTGATTTACATAAACATATGAGATATTAGCTACTCGAGTTAGGAAAATGAGGCCAGTCTCCCCATTTCAATTCATTTCTGGCTTTTTTTTTTTTTTTTTTTTACCCCTGATGTGCTCCTACCTAATGTTGAGAGACTTCTTCCGAAGCTCACTCCACTTGAAGTTCATGGTATCCAAACGTCTTTGCAACAGGGCTGCGTCATCAGAACCTTCCAGGGATCTCAGGACTTTTTGGCCATTTTCATCCAGGTTGTGATAGATATCTGTGTGAGCTTCGATTTCTCCTTGGAGGTCCTACGAGACGGCAGGAAGAAGAACATGCACAGAGTTACCAAGCGAAAGAGATCGGCTAAATGTGATTTGGGAGGAGTGTAAAAAATGATTCGTTCACAAGACACTTGAACGGGGTCAACTAACAAGACGATGCACCCCCAACTTCCTCTTCTTGTTGTATTATCTCTTCGTGTTATTATGGAGATCGGAAGTGGGCATCTTATTAGATATAATCAATTTATTCCTTGGCGTTATAAACTGGAACATTATATATCTGCAACTTTACACGTTTCCTAAGTTACACCCACTAGTCCGCAGACAAAAGAGAGGGTTTTCTGGAAGTGATGAGAAATAAAATTCCATGACAAAGTGCACCCCAGGGTCGATCATTTCATTACACTATGGGTTAAGTCATATTTTCCATGCACATAAGTAATCTGTAGAGTTGATTCTGACCATAAAAGCATGGAGAGACTAATAAACAGGGTTGTACTCGGTCCGCAGCACCAGCACGTTAATGGGATTCTATCAGAGGAGAGCATCTTCTTGACAATGCACATTAAGTTCACCTTGGCATTACAGCATCACACATTTATTATAGCGTCATACATTTATTAGTAAGATTTCCCACTTAAACTACCGTCGTATTTTTAGGCTTGACAGGTAGAAAGCCCACAGGACCTTGAGAAGCGTTATGATAAGAGATTACACATTCAACCTCATTTGTATATACACAGATCAAGAAAATTATCATAGTAGAAGAATCTGACCTTTACATGGTATGTCTTCCTGTGTAACATTTTCAGCTTGAACCGGGGACTACAGCACTGATCGTGTTGCATAGCAATCCTGAGAAAACCCAGCGACTGAAAGAGCCCTGCTTTAAAATGCCAACTTTGCTTACATTCTGTTGACAGAATGAATTTCAGAGCACAGGCCTCACCAGTCAATAATAATAAACAGCCACTTTGTACTCCTCACTAAACGGTGGCCAGGCCTGTGGGTGTGGGAGGGACCTCAGAGAGGAGGCCTGGAATATGCAACTGACAGTTTATATGAAACAGCCAACTTTTCTTATCATTTTGCCATTATAAGCCAGAGACATTAGAAATTCATTTTCTATATGTGTTTCCCTCCTTGTTCCCAACAGAACGGTCAAAGCCAAAGGAACATTCCTTAGAGAGCTGCCGGGTACCAGCATTCCTTTCTGCCCACACAATGAATGGAGCCTTTGTCCATTATCTGACTTGCTTTGAGAGATTTGTATGCTTCTGTTCAACAAGTTTAAAAATTCATTCTGAAGCTCCGAACAATTGGATTGATCTGTGTAACTGGAAACTTTTTTTTTTTTTTTCTGCTCTCTCTTTCTAAAATGGAATGAAATGGCTCTTCTGAAGTGAGGGGGGATGTGAGAGCAAGTCACGGACTCTTAGATGCCGACTTCGGAATGTTGAGAAGTAAGGTAGATGGACAATGAATGTCCCTGTCACTATTTCTGGAAGTCACGAGGTGGCGGTGTGTGGGGCGGGGGATGGATAGAAGCACATCCAAAGTTGAAAGAAGGGAAAGAGTCCAACAGATCGAGCAGCATCTATCTCTATCCCCTCAAAGAACAGGCTTGTGCTGCAAGGAAATTGCCTGATTTCGAGACCAGCTTACGTGGTGGAAAACTGGTATTGGGCTTCCTGCAGGATGGGGTTTGATCAAACACGCATCTCTGTTCTTTGTTTAGGTCACAGAACGGGGCAGAACATGCCCCTGCTGAATTCGCCACTTCTTCAGGAAAAGAGAAAAGTGATGTTAATGTATCTAAAGAAATCAGGGCTCAAAACCAAACAGACCCAAGTCATCCACAGAATTCTCCCCACTTCTCTCTTTTGCTTCACTTTTCCTCTTGCTGTATTTGATTCAGAACTTTGCCTCGGAGTACCCACCTAGGGGACGGACACCAAACCTTTAGTTGTTCAAGAAAATGAGGTCTGACCAATACAATCAGCTTTGTGCACCAACATGCATATAAATGATAGTTCACCTGAATTTTTAGATCCCGCGCTTAGAGCAGACACCGAAGCTCAAGCGATAGTTCCTTAAGATCATGTAGATCGTGAAGTCATCAACACCTTTTTTTTTTTTTTTTAACGTTTATTTATTTTTGGGACAGAGAGAGACAGAGCACGAACGGGGGAGGAGCAGAGAGAGAGGGAGACACAGAATCGGAAACAGGCTCCAGGCTCCGAGCCATCAGCCCAGAGCCCGACGCGGGGCTCGAACTCACGGACCGCGAGATCGTGACCTGGCTGAAGTCGGACGCTTAACCGACTGCGCCACCCAGGCGCCCCAACACCTTCTTGAATAAATGAGCCATCTTCCCAAGCATAAAGAGGAAGGTGATTCGTAAGTCTGCTAATTTTCATCTTTGCTATTTCCGTTATGCCACCTATAAACCTCTTTGTTGTATCATCAAAAAGATAAACACATGTAAAACCGACGCACCCGTATTTACTGAGGACTGGTTATTTGTCTAGTCTTAGCACGGTGGGAAATAAGAGGCACGCAAGAGAGAGCTCTGCCTGTACGTCTCCGGAAATCTAGCGTGTGCTTTCGAATGAACTCCTTCATATTACCAGCTAAATATTGATGGGAGTTTCCGGCCAAATCTCAGAGGTGTTGGCGTAAAAACTGCTCCCCTTGGAAGTTCGGAAGTGGCTGAAGTAAAAGTCTTGGCACGGGCACGAGGGAGCTCCTAGCTTGCACCTCTTCTCTGGGTCACCGTGCTGGTTGAGAGTGACAAATGACACAAGAACAGTAATGGGCTTTACGGTGTACAAAACACTTACAAAGGTACCGCTTTGTTCTTCCTCCTGGCCCTGTGGAGTATGTGTTTTCTCTGTTTTTCCTCTGAGAGCACCGAGGTGGAGAGAAATGTAACTGACTTGCCTACAGTCATGTATCTTTTAAGTATTAGAATTAGAGTTCTTTCGACTCTGGAAGCTCTTGGGCTGCCCCTCCCCGCCCCATTTGCTACGAGCAGCGCTTGTAATAGACAGTAGTTATTGAAGCTGAACGAGGCTGTTCCTAACAAGGTGGGGAAAAGCAACTGTTGAGGGAAAAGCCCTTGGAAAGTGGACATTCCTGACTTCGATCAGAAATGTACCCGCATGGAATGATGTGTTCCGAACGGAAGATGGAAGCCTGACCACCGTTTTCACTTCTTATTTGGCAGCTGGGCAGCTGGGACCCCCTGTGAGCAAAAACCGTTTGGGCCACAAAGGGCTCCTGCTGCAAACTCTCCTTGACGCCCGAACAGAAATTCTCCCTTCAGTAACATCACACTAAGCAATGGCCTGACACGTCGGTATCGATGCAGCCGGTCCGTGTTCTCTTGGGACGGCAGGCTGGTAGGGAATTTGTCAAGCCACAGGATGCGGGTAGGCTGCTGGAAAACAGGGGTGAGCGTTGGTGAGGAACACAAGGCTTTTTTGAAAGGAGGTTGGCATGCTGTAATGGAGATTTTTTTAATACGAGTGGGCAGCACGACTCCTAGGGGGGAGGAGACATTGACAGGACAGGTAGGAAGGAGGACACCCACACTTGCCTAAAACTCCCACAATGGCATTTATCTTAAGAGGGACCTTAGACTCGGGGGCCACAGAAGAGCAGGCGGCGGGCGAAGGCTCTCTTCTTTTTTTGATGGTATTCTTTAAAAAGACCAATAACTAAAGAAGAGGGAAAAATGCCCAAGGTCACACAGCTGAACAACCACGGGGCCAGATTTCAAACCCAGGCTATTGGACCCCAGGGACTGTGCTCTTAACCACAAGGCGATGTTACCTCTGAGGTTTTTCCTATTAACTAAACATTTTTCCCAATTATTTTCTCCTGTTAATAACACGACGAAGTGTTGGGAGTGTTAGGAGTGTTACTTAAGTTTCAGCAAACCTCGCCCTGCCATCAGACAAGGCAGAAAGATGCTTTCGGCACCCCAAGAGTTCATTTCATGGTCTTAATAATATGGAGACTATTAAACAGAACTGAAGCAGTGGACAGAGATATCTCCAATACAGTAAGAGAGAACATCCAATCATTGAGAAACCGGGTGCCAATAAAAGAATAATTTGTTGCCTCCCCCACCAAAGGACCACAGAGCCTAAAATTCTGTGTGATCACAGAGGGAAACTCCACTGTGACCATCAAGAAGGCCAGCTGTAAGGCAAGCAGTACATTCACAGCGCAGAGGTTTTAGGAGTGGAGAGAATCTTGTTTCCTGGAGAGCTGTTTCAAATCTCGCACTCCCTTCTTTTTTCTGAGAGTCTGGCCTCCTTCTTTCCTAAGTCCCCTTTCTCAGCCTCCGGGGAAAATTCATGGCAGAATGCAGTTAAGTAGACCTAGTTTGAGTCTCCCCCTTCTCTTTCCCTTATTAGCTGCCTAAGTTGAAAAACTCTTTAATCTCTTTGGCTTTGCTAAATATTAAATAATAATACCTACCTGCTGGGTTGTTTTGAATATTACATGGAATAATTTTTGTAAAATACTTTTAACAGTGTCCAGAACACAAAAAGCCTTTAATAAGTAATAGCTAATATAAGGGTTTCTCTTGGAAGACAATCAGTGTGGAGGCCAAGTGATAGAAATAGACTTCATGAACTCATGGGACTTGGTCTGAGCCTTGAAGGATGGATAAGACTGAGAGAGGTAGAGGGAAGGAGGTATTCCCACTGGGCAGAAGACTGTAAGAATGGCAGAAGGGGGGGAGTGAGTTTGCTTTATGAGCAGGGACAAAGGGACAATGAATTGCACAGCCCGATGGGAAGCCATGATGTGTGTTCGGAAGAGACAGAATGTAGTTGAGGTCCGGGGCTCCTGGGTGGCTCAGTTGGTTAAGCGTCGACTTCGGCTCAAGTCATAATCTCACAGTTTGCCAGTCTGAACCCCCTTCGGGCTCTGTGCTGACAGCTCGGAGCCTGGAGCCTGCTTCGGGTTCTGTGTCTCCCTCTCTCTCTGCTCCTCCCCCGCTTACACTC